TATATGTAATTGAATATGTAGAATTAGAACAACTTATAAGCATGGTTTCTATATGTAATTGAATATGAAGGATTTAGAATAACCCTATAGGCATGATTTCTGCCTTTTGCGTGCATAGTTACCCACCCCTTTTCACTAGCCAGCCCCAAGTGTTTATTACAACTTATTACAAACTGGAATAGTAAATTACATTAGAAAATACAAATAAAAGTACAACTAGAGGTAGCCTAATTTTGACTTCCTCACTGAGTTATGAGATAAGCCAACTCAAAGACCATTGATCCAAAGCCTTTCTCAACTTGAGTGTGTCAGAGTTCCCTAAGAGCCTTAATAGGACTCTGGGCAGTGCTCACACCCAAATTGTATTATCATAATGGGGATAAGTGCAGTATGGAAGGGCCAGCCCTCAAGTGTCCAAGTTTAGAGGGAGATCAAGGGGTCCCAAGGAAAGGCTCACAAGAGGGGGGCAGAACTTAAAGTCTAAGAGAGAGTGCAAGTGCAGAAACAGAACTTTAAGAACTAGGGAAGTAAAGAAAAGGGAAAAAGGTACTGGGGGAATAGCTATAGAATTGATAACTTTGCGCACAAAAGGGGGTCGGGGATTGGGAACTGATTGCAGAGAGCCCATGCTTGGCAAGGGTAAGCTTTGAGCATACACAGCAATGGAGATGCTGGCATGCCTATAAGCCTACCAGAACATACAACAGCGAAGAATCATAGGGGTTAGGATCCCAAGGGGATCAAGCTTGAGTCATGGATAGTAATATTCAGTACTATCATGCCTCAAGCAAACCATAGTATCAAACACATTGGGGCAGGGGTTTGGGGTTCATAACAGGACAGGCAGAAGGAAATTACAGCATGCAAAAGTAAGTATTGAACTATACACAAATAGTAGACAGACAAGAAGGTAAAAGTATTAAGTAAACACATTGTTGTGATTGCTGAAAATCTTAATCAGAACATACTAGTTTCAAAGAGGCAAAGTACAATAAAAGCAAGTAGCAGGACTTGAAAGCAGGCCACAATACAAGTAACAAGAGAGAATGCTTTTGGAAGGGGAGTGTGAGTTCAGAAAACTAAGAGTGTCTGTGTGTGTTTGTGTCAATGAAAGAGCATAATATTTATAGTTTGAAAACAGGCAGAGAATAAGGCAAGAAAATAACCATGTACCAATTAAAATCAATCAGTAGAAGAATCTCCTTTAATTAAGGAGTTCGAACTCAAACGGTAATGAACTGAAATCATTTATGGAAAGAGATCAAATAAGCATCTTGTGCAAAGTAGACAATTTGGGGTAAATACATAGGAGTTTAATTAAGGGAAGGATCTTTAAAATACACGATTAAACAAATAAGGTAAGAATCAATCAAAACATAGTAAATCAAGGAGTCAGAGATTTGAAATTACTGGTTCATGAATAAACCAAGTCAGGAAGGCTAAGGAAAGTTTTCAAATCAAACCAAGAAACATGGAAATTAGTAAAACAAGGAAAACATCAATCAGACTTACACAAGGAGGTTTAAAATCAGTCAAAAATTGAAAGTCATTTTAGAGGGGAAGCTCAACATATATAAAGAGCACACAAGTATTAGGCATGCGAGGCTGAACCTAGGACAAAGAAAAGTGTCATGCAATTGCAAAATCAGTAAGTAGTGGACTATAGGAACATGGTAGCCACATAGGTCAGTTTCAGTAACTCAGCAATGGAGAAGGGAGAGAATATCAAATAGCATGCAAAAGGTCCAGTAGAAAGACCTTAGAAGAGTTTAGCAGGGATTCAGAATCATATAAAGAAATAAAAGATTTTGAAATTCAGTCGAGCAACGGATGAAACAACTTCAGAAACCCAAATAAGTCCAACGAAATTAGGGTTTCGAAACCAAACAAGTTCAGAGATGAAGGACAAGAAAATCACATAGCAAATAGCCTCAAACCTCGAGTGAACCCCCTCCAAATTTAGGGTTTCACCATCAATCGAGTATAAAGATGAAGGACAAAAGAATCAGGCAAAAATATCAACGAAGAAAATAAAATCAGAAACCTTAAGAAAGGGCCATGACTTTTAACATAAAGAAACACAGTAGAAGAACAACATAAGGGACACAGTAGAAGAATCAACATAAGAAACACAACAGAAGAACGACATGTTAAAAAAATCAAAAAAGATTCGAAATAACTTAACAAAACCCTAAATCGAAAAAGATAAAGGTTTTGAAGGTAAGGTTTTGAAAGAAACTTTAAGAAAATTTTCAAAAGGCTTGGAGAGAAAATAGATCGACAACGGATCTAAAAGAATCAGAAGAAACCCAAAGGGTGAGAAAGGCTTGGAAATCATCGATCTAAGCAGGAGAGGTCGAGATCAGGCTCGAATAGCTATATCCGACCGGAGCAAGGTCGAGGATGGCCGGAGACAGCCATAGCACTGAAAAAACATCCGAGGTCTGGACCAAATTTCTTCAAGGTCTGGCCTTGAGGCCATGATAATCAAGCATGTAGAAGTCGTATGAGGTAGATACAGGCCATCAATGGCTTTGGAAGCCTTGGATGTGGTTAATTTTTTATGGTGATTGAAGGTGGCGGCTAGGGTTTCTGAAAGAGATTGAGAGTGAATTGGGAGAGGAGGAATTCAAGGGCTGCTTCAGACGGGAAATGATTAGGGTTAGGGGGTAATGGGGAATTAAAAAAGGAAAGGGAAATTGGGACCGTTGATCTGGGAGATCAACGGTTGAGATTAAAGAGGGTAGGTGGGAAACGGGTCTGGGTCGGTTTGAACCGGGTTTGAGATTGGGTTTAATTGAGGGTTGATTTAGGGCTATAATTGAAATAAATGGGGCTAGCATTTAAATGGACACTTTTCCCTTGTTTGATTTTATAAAAATGGTAAACTAATTTCTGAAAATAAATTAAAGGAACTAAGATGATTAATAATACATAATTATCAAATAAAAAATACTGGAGCCAATTTTATAAATATAATTACCATTAAATCTTAGAAGAGGCTAATATTGCAATTATATGCAATTTAGCATAAAAATGCTAAATAAATTTGTAAATATGCAAAGATTATGTTAGGTATATTTTAGTATAAATATGAGAAATCCACTAAATGAATCACCAAAAATGATAATTTTGGGGATAATTATTGATTTTTTTCTTAATGAAATAGGGCAATAAATTGATTTAAAACCCCTTTAAAAATTGGAAAAAATAATGAAACCTTGGGACATGCTTATATATGCATATACATGATATTTTGAAAGTATTTTGTATATTAAAAAATATACAGGGAAAAATTGGGTATCAACAGTTCGCAGTTGTCGTGTCGCGTTCACATAGAAGGATAGAGCAGCTGAGCTTCGGGGGAATTAACTCATCGCGTTCGCGATGGATGGAACGCGTTCGCGAAGGTTCGTCTAGGTAAAGCATTGCGTTCGAGAGGGTCTGGTCGCGATCGCGTAAGAGGAAAGTTGGTCAAAGTTAAATTGTGCTTCGCGAACGCGAGGCGTTGACCGCGTTCGCGAAGAGGATTTTCAGGCCTGGGCAGAAAGTTTAAAAAATCGTCTTGTTCGCGAATGTAGGGTTTATTTACTCCATAGTTGGTCGTTTTTGGAATTTTTTGAAGGAGATTGAAGAGGGATTCAAGGGGAAACATTTGGAGGTAAGAATTTTGGAGTTAAAACTCGATTCTATTGTGAAATCTACCTAATAAATCATGAAATCTAAGCCTAAAATTGAGAAATTAGGGCTTGAGATTAAGAGACTTTAAATGAGGATTTGAGGGGTCATTTAGACTCCAATTTCAGTGTTATTGATATGTATAGACTCGTGGGAGGATAAGGATTCCGGTGATGTAATTTTTATCGAGTTTCGAGACATGGGCCCGGGGGTCAGGTTTGGCCAATTTCGAGATTTTGGTATTATTTGATTGTTTTCGCTTGGGCTTCGTTCCCTTAGCATATTTTGACGTCGTGATTCTAATTTTGGATAGATTCGACACGAGTGGAGACTGATTCGAGGGGCAAAGGCATCGGGATCTAGAGATTTGACCGGTTCGAGGTGAGTAATGATTGCAAATGATGTTCTGAGGGTTTGAAACCCCGGATTGCACATAGTAGTGCTATATTGAGGTGAGGCACACATTTGATGACGAGCGTGGGGTCGTGCACTATTGGGGATTGTGACTTGGTCCATCCCGATTGATGATTTTACCGCGTATTTGATTGTAAACTATTTGTGATCATCATTATTTGGGTCGAATGCCATATTTGGGCTTCGTGCCAACTATTTGAATCCTTCGAGGATTTTTATTGATATTTCCTTACTGTTTTGACTTTATACTTGAACTCAGTCATGTTATTTTCCATTGTGTTTGTACTCAGCCATGTTTACTCAATTTTAATACTTAAATGATATTTTTAAATGATGTTGGGCTGAGAAACACTGTTTTACTATTGCCCGAGTGGCTTGTGAGGATTTTTGACTGAGTGAGGCCGAGGGCCTCTGTTGTGAGGAAATATTTGATACTGATCATGAGGCCGAGGGCCTGAGATGTGTGCACCATGAGGTGACTTGATTGATATGAGGCTGAGGGCCCAGTGATGATGCCATGAGGTGGCTTGATATTGCGCTTGGGCTATAAGGGGCACTTCCAGGTGTTTGCACACCCCCCAGTGAGCGCGGGTACCCATTGCGATATGAAATTGAGCCCGAGGGGCCGGTATTGTTCTGAGATGTTGCCCGAGGGGCGGTTTTGTTGATATAGTGCCCGAGGGGCGAACCTTTACGTGTTTATTTTTCCTTAATTGTCTATTAACTATCTGCTTACTTGTTGATAAATGATTTTACTTATCTTTTAATTGGTTTACTTTTTTAAATAGTTTTACTGCTTCATTATAGAATGCATTGTGCCTTACGTATTTTCTTGCTTTCAGTCTTTATTTACATTTGTTACTCACTGAGTTGGAGTACTCACTTTACTCCTTGTGCCCTGTGTGCAGATTCAGGCATAGCTGGTCCCGCTCCCGAGTGCTGATCATTCCAGTTCAGGCAGATCCGAGGAGTCTTTAGGTAGTTGTTGGCGTTCGCAGCCCGGAGCTCCTCCCTATCTTTTTTTTCCTTTATGTCCTTAATTCTGTATAAAACTCTGTAGTTACTTTGGGGTATTCTGTGTTGTTAGATGATGTGACTTGTGACACCCCGGTATCGGGCTATGTTTGGGTTGTATTCCGCACATTATACTATCTTTTGCTTAGACTTTGGTTTATTAACTCATGCTTAGACTGTTTATTATTGTTTAACTACTTAAAAGGTGAATTGGGTTTAATTGACTGACCTTGTCTTCACGAGAGGCACCATCACGACCGGGTTCGGGTTTAGGGTCGTGACAATGACACTATCACCTTTGTGTTAAAACCACAACCACAAAAATTCAATCCGTTTTGAGAACTCTCTGCTCTTTGCGACATGGCTACAACGACTATGAAGTTCAAACTCTAAATCAGGGAAGAAGAAGACAACTAGTATAATAGAGTTCAATTTCCTATAAATTTCATGAAAGCTTCAACAAATTGAAGAAATAATGCAGTCTTTGAATATTCATAGAGATGGAGCTTTTGAGATTTAGGGTTTATTTTGTATCTGATAACAAAGATAGATGTAGGAAAATGGGGTATAAAGGGGGGGCTCAATGGTATTTATTAACGTTAAAATGGGAGATAAGTACAACTTCACGCGTGACCTGGGTGGGGAAACTCACTCAATGTGACAAGTCGGCATTTAGTGTTTAAGTGGCACATAAGAAAGTGAGCTGAAGTGTCAAAATTGAAAATGTCAGAATAGAAGTGTCAAAATAAAAAGTGAATACAAGTTTAAGGAGTCGTTTATGGGTTTGGCCATAGTTATTCTTATTGGATATTCCACCCTATGGGATATCATGAAATATCATGGGATATACATTGTAGGAAAAATTATGCGACATGTCAAATATTTATATTGTATTTACTATTCGTAGCTATACTTTCAGCAAATTTACCATTCATAGCTATATTTGAATCTTATAGCAAATTCATGAAATAAGAGATTAATTATTTTGAACTGTAACAAGAGAGCAACAAGATTTTGTAGTGTTGGTTAGAGTGTCTGCTTAGTTAGCGAAGGTCTTGAGTTCGACTGTCAACAAAAACATTTTACTTTTCTCTATTTCTGTATTTCGCCTTAGTTGTATTCGTTGCGCGAACAAATACAGTTGATACATGTTGTATCATTTATATACACCCTGTATACGATCGATACAAGTTGTATCCATTGTATACACCCTTGTATTTTGCATTGGTTACAGTTGATACATATTGTAATCGTTGCACGAATGAATACAATTGCACGAATGAATATATAGACGGTGTATTTGTTGCGCGAACGAATACAGTTGACACAAGCTGTATTCGTGCATGTTTGAATACAAGTTAGTAACAATTGAATCGTATCTATGAATAATAATTAGGCAAATTATAATTACTAAGCTCTAAATTATAGTGGTTAATGAAAATTCCTCTACGTTGTACCAAATGATCGTAAGGACTTTCACGTATCTGGTTCCACTATACAGTAATGGGCTTGAAGAACCTCAATCCAAATTGAATATGGATTTATTTAAAAGAGCCCATGGCCTATAGTCCAGTGTTTTACTCATTAAAACAAAGAAAAATGATACTATATAGCCGTTATAAGCATAATAGCTGAAAAATATATAAAATTTATATACATTGTATGTTATATACAAAAACTATACAAGTTTATATAATTTTTCGGCTACCAAATGTAAATTGTTTCGGGAGGGGGAGGGGCTAAAAATGATAATACCCCCATAAAACAATACTGCAAGTCCGCAACAACATCTCAGTATAATTAAATTCAAAGTTCATACTTTCTTTTGGTAATAAAGACTTATTTTTTAAAAAGCAAAGAGTTATTTTATTAAAATTAGGAATTACTACAATATTTTAGTTTGTCTAGGATACATATAATAACCTGTATAGAAGTTCAAAAATAAAGCTCCTATCGTAGTTTCTAAAACAGTATTGGTCCTTTTTTTTATAAGCGGCAAAAAAGGAGCTTAATTTTAGTATAAGTGGCAAAAAGCACTAATCCAAATATACATAGGAGAAGGAATGGGTGGTACCGCACATTTTTTCCTTTGTTCACCTGATATAAGAATTATTAAAGGGGCTAAACAATTTCCTTTTCGGTTTTTCTTCTTTATTATAATACTCAATGGCGGCTCCATAAAATTTGTGGTCTAAAGCGAAATTTAATAAGAGACCATATATTTTTTTATTAGTATATATACACACATATACAAAAAAGAAAAGATAGTATTGCCATTTTTTCATACTTGTTATTTATAGCATAACATGCTTAAATGAATGAAACCTTTAACTTCACATAGGAGTATTATTATTTTTATTAAGAAGTAACTTAAATAAATTGGATGTAAGATATGTATTTTCAATATGTTACCTTTGATTTTGTTGTAAAAAACATATTTACTAATATGAAGATCTAAGTAATTTAATTCAAAGTTCTAAAATATTTTTAGTGTTAAAGAGTAGATGTTCTTTCTTTCTTTCTTTCTTTTGTCCAAGGTTTATTGTATTTTTTTTTTTACAAACTTTAATATTGTCTAACTTGAACTAAAATCATAAAATCTATTATTAAAAAATTTTGGAGACCTAAATTAAAGCTTTACTAATCTCCTAATCGAGCCACATGTCCATCCCCATGCTATTCTCAATCAAATTTTATTGAGTCTCAATTAAGATAAGACAACAATCAATGAATGTGTTATTTAGTTACCAAATGTGAATGAAGTTGTTGAATAGCACGTTCATGGGCAATGGTCTATAAATAATTGTTGATCACTAATGAGGGCGGCTTAGCGGAACTGGTGGCTTAAAACTAAAATATATTAAAAAACCCTGAATTTCTTTCATAATATCCATATAATATGGAGACAAAAAAAGTGGTGATAGAACAACGTATAATATGTGGGTTAGGCGTAAGTCATATGGCATTGAACTCCCTATAAAAAAATATAGCATTAAATGAAAATGGTAAAAGGATTGAGTCTATTATCGATCGTGTTTTGAACCTTACGATACGTGTCTCTAGGATTTCTTAGTTAAACAAAATGAGACACAAAAGAACTTGATTACATATATCAGGATCTATGAAATGTGACAAAAAGAAATAGCTAATTTAGAGAATTTGATTTGAAATTAGAAAGTAAAATAGTAAAAAATATGAAAAAAGAAAGAAAGAAAAATAGAATTGATGAGAAGATTTATGTAATTTAGTGAAAGAAATGTTCTATCCTACTAACTCATTCAATCCTACATTTACCAAATTTAAATAAATATTAGAATTTAAAATATTTTATCAATAATCTATATTATATTAAAAGCAGGAAGCCCCTAACTTAAAAGTCAAATTACCAAAATATCCTTCATTAACTAAATATCCTATTCTAAAAAAAGAAAAAAAAAGAAAAAAAAACTGCCTACTACTAACAGAAGCCAACACACGGCTGTTTTGAAGAGTTGCCATCGTTTCTGATAAGAATGGTGTTTCAGATATTTTATTGAAGGCATATTTACGTATAGTTGCTAGCACTTGGCTTCTTCTAGCAAGTACCCAACACTGTATGTATTATATATATTAGTAGACTGTGGTATGCCCCTTTTTCTTGGTTGAGTGCTTGTTTCCACAAGATCCAACAGATCATCTGTTTGATTGCTCCATATTAAAAGACTTAAATTTAGGTTTTTGGCTTTTGAAATACCTTTCTTATCATATTTAATTTAAAAGTGCATTAATTGTATCATTCTCATAAATATATAGATAAACGTATGTGTATATGTGTGTGAATGTAAGTATGTAGTGAACTATATCACTTTAATTGATCATTGAGCCCTTTAATGCAAAATAGACTTTTGAGTGGCAAACGATATGGATGTCAAACGTAAAATGCGCAGTATTTTTGAAAGAATTGCCCTTCTATTGGACTGTATTACACATGACAAAATCCTTTTAATTTGTTTGATTTTCTTAGGTGCGATAAAGGGTTGAAAGAATGTTGAACGACGGGTTATAATTTATACGAAGTCCCTGATTTACCCCTGGTTAGTGTTCAATCAAATACCTTTAATATCTAACATAATTTGAACAATGTCTTAACGTATTCGTCTGCTTATTTATGTTGACTGACTTTGCGCTAAAAGTAGATATGTGCTAGCAGGTTGAGGGGAGACAGAATTGTTATTTTTTGATTAGTTGAATCAAAACATTAATTGCACACACAGAGTTTCTTTTACTAAACAAATTTTGTGAGACAGAGCTAATTACATTGTTCTAGAGATTTAGCTATGAGATCCCATTTAGTGATTGCTTGTTTCTTGCTTTGCATTTGATGAGTTTAAATTTCTGAGTTATTTGATAATCGTAAAATACACATGCTAGCCTAGAAACTAACATATATAGGGTCCATTTTTCGCTCAACCTTTATTCGTTCCACTATTTTTCTGCGGATTTGGTACTTTCATTTTCTTTTTGTCAGCATCAAAATTTTTGTACTGCACCAAGTTAATATATGTTTGAGTACTACTATGTCCTTATTAATATTTTTTTTACTTTGTTTTGCTTCAATACATGTCACCCAATTCTTTTGAAAAGATTGGCCCGACTTCGCTGTTCATTAGAAAATTAAAAAAGAGTATGAGCCTATTTGTGGTAAATGGTTCATACTTTTAAAATAGTTTAAAAGGCATAATCTAACTCTGATAAGAATGGACCTTGGGCCTAACTCAACCCCAAAAGCTAGCTTATGATGTGTGGATTGTCCAAGACCATATAAGGAGACCAAGATACCTATAACCCACCGACGTAGGACACAACTCAGCAAACTCTATTGATCCATGCTCTCAAAATATGACTAAGTACTCCCTGCACTTTGATAATTAACTGCTTTCGATGTATGTGATGCTACTTAGTACTTATGATTTGTTAGAAATTAGTTCTTGACTTATTTTTCATAAAATTAAAATATTCTCAACTTTGAAGTGTCCAATCGTGCTAATTTGGGTGAGTTTCATACAGGAAAGAATCATAAGATTTTTGTGAGAAATATTTTATCGCAATAAATCAAACTGCCACAGTGTTGATAAAGGTGACGGTCACAAATAAGGTTTAATTTTCAAATACTCACTGAT